AAAAAGGAAAAAGGAAAAAGGAAAAAGGAAAAAGGAAAAAGGAAAAAGGAAAAAGGAAAAAGGAAAAAGGAAAAAGGAAAAAGGAAAAAGGAAAAAGGAAAAAGGAAAAAGGAAAAAGGAAAAAGGAAAAAGGAAAAAGGAAAAAGGAAAAAGGAAAAAGGAAAAAGGAAAAAGGAAAAAGGAAAAAGGAAAAAGGAAAAAGGACCCACCAGTCCTGGATCCAGCATTGATCCAGCTACTGGGATGTCATTCTTGGTTTCAGCATGGATCAGTGCAGCTGATGGGATGTCCAGGAGCCCAGGGACACCACCCAGGATTGGGGGCGTGCCTTTTTATGGACAGGGTTTCCCATTGTTGGGATTGCTGTCTCAGTTTCTGTGTCAATCAGGTGTCACGGATGTTCTTTCAGACCTTTCAGGAAATGGATCAGAGGCTTTGTGGGTCTCAGTTGATCTCAATCCCCATCATAGTCCCTGCCCACTTTCCAGACTCATCTTGTGCTGGGCTTATCTCCAGGAGCATGAACAAGATGTTTGTCCCAGGAAGGTGCTGCCCTACCTCCACATGGACCCCTCTCCACCAATGCACAGCTTGTTCTTCCTCACGGTGTGTGACCAACAGCAATCCTTGTTTGTGACCAACAGCAATCCCTGTCTGTGACCAACAGCAATCCCTGTCTGTGACCAACAGCAATCCCTGTCTGTGACCAACAGCAATCCCTGTCTGTGACCAACAGCAATCCCTGTCTGTGACCAACAGCAATCCCTGTCTGTGACCAACAGCAATCCCTGTCTGTGACCAACAGCAATCCCTGTCTGTGACCAACAGCAATCCCTGTCTGTGACCAACAGCAATCCCTGTCTGTGACCAACAGCAATCCCTGTCTGTGACCAACAGCAATCCCTGTCTGTGACCAACAGCAATCCCTGTCTGTGACCAACAGCAATCCCTGTCTGTGACCAACAGCAATCCCTGTCTGTGACCAACAGCAATCCCTGTCTGTGACCAACAGCAATCCCTGTCTGTGACCAACAGCAATCCCTGTCTGTGACCAACAGCAATCCCTGTCTGTGACCAACAGCAATCCCTGTCTGTGACCAACAGCAATCCCTGTCTGTGACCAACAGCAATCCCTGTCTGTGACCAACAGCAATCCCTGTCTGTGACCAACAGCAATCCCTGTCTGTGACCAACAGCAATCCCTGTCTGTGACCAACAGCAATCCCTGTTTGTGACCAACAACAGGAATCCTTGTTTGTGACCAACAACAGCAATCCCTGCCTGCTCTTACCAACAGCCTTGGCTGGCTCCAGAGCCCCCCTGCTCTCAGTGTTTCACACCCCACACCCCACACACATATCCTATCACAAACACATTTATCTCCCCGGGTTCTGCATCCCAGAGGTGGGTGGGGCTCGAGTGGAACCTTTCTGAACCTTTCTGAGCTGTGGGACAGGACCATGGAACCCTCTGGGCTCCCAGAACCCCAAGTGCTCCTTCTGAGCTCATCAAAGGCTGTCAAGGTTACAGGTTTCCCTGTCCCTGGCTCAAATTTGGAATCACAGACTGTTCTGGATTGGATGGGACCCCCAAGGGGATCCTCCATCAAACCCAGCTCTTGAATGGCCTGAACAGGGGTTGAAGCCACAATTTATCAATTTATCACAATTTATCAGCACCAAGCTCCAACCAACTGGGCTGACCTCCCTCAATTCCTTTGTTTCCAGCATCGTTCCTGGATCTCTCGCTGTTGATTCTGACCCTGGAGTGTGGGGGCTGTGTCTGAGCTGAGCCTGTTCCAACAGGAGCAGCCCCTGGAATTGTGTCCCAAGTGCCTGGAGGGGAGCGTTGTGTCTGTGAGGGTCTGTCCGCAGCCCTGGGGGGCAAAAATCCTCCTCAGGAGCTAGCAAGAGCTGAAGAATCTGCCTGAGAGGCTGAAATGTGAATTTCCAATTGCTGCCCTCTTCCATTTTTGTGATGTGGGATGGTTTTGGGGGAGCAGGGGATGGAGGTGTTGGGGTTTCCATGTTTGTTGTGTTTTTTTCCTTGGTTTTGTTTGGGTTTTTTCCCCAGAAACAGAAGCCTCTAAATTGGATACATGGAGAAGAGGACACAGATTTCCTTTGAAGCCTGACCTGTTAATTGCCCTCCTGTATTTTTAAAGTGAAAATTGTCTCTCCCAAGGTTTTCACAAGCTCTTTTCTCTTATAAACAAACTCTGGGGTTTTGGGATGAATTATTAAAATGGCTGCATCAACTATGTGCAGTCTTTTTTTAAAATTAGGTGATTCTTAAGCTGCACCTGTAAACAATTTGAATTCATTGCATTCAGCTTGCCTTTAATTATGCAGGTATGGCATCTTTTGAAGTATTTTTGCTTTTCTGTGTGGTGGCTGGAAGGAGCAAACGAGGATCTGTAGCACTGAGCTCTGTGATTGATTCTCTCTCACCTGTTGTAACAATCCAGCTCCTTTTTACCCACCCAGGTTTTGAAGAGGCGTTAAAATCCATAACAGAGCTTGCACAAAGGATTCCTTGTATGGAAATTATATGTTGTTAGTTATTTTATAGATTAATTATAATTAATGGTGAGTGGTGAGTACCTGTGCTGGTTCTGTTGTTGAGGAATGCAGGTGCCATGTGGGCTGAGGGGTTTTTGTGCATCCTCAGTTTCCTTCTGGTGCAGTTTCATGTCTTCCTGACAACCTTTCTTGCCTCTTCTCAGCGACTTTCATGCCTTGGAAACTTGGAGCATTAGGTGGGGAGGGTGGTGCTGGATCGTGTGCTTTGGTAAGGGCTTGGGGTTTTTATTTCAAAGCACCCTTTGTAAACTGTTATTTTACTACTTTGGTGTGGGAGTGGTGAAGTTTGGAATGGATGGTGTCACTAAATTAGTGACCACATCAGAACTAGGCCAGTCTGTGCTGCTTCCAGAGAAACCATGTGTCAGCGAGGTCATCTGCTGACCCTGAGAAACAAGTTTAATATTGTTCTTAGACCACAAGGAATTTCCACTTATTGTAAAGCTGTCAGATTGTTTCTGCCCTCCCTGTCAGTGGGACAGGAACTTGGTGCATGCAGACACACTGCAGTGGAGTTTTGGGCACTCTGATGATACAGATTGTAAAAATAATAAATTGTCTGTGAGATTCCCTCCTGGGCCTGAGGCAGCTCTGGTGTATCAAAGCTGTGAGGTTCTTTGTCAGGTCAAAAATGATTAAGTTCAGGTTTACAGGAAACTTTTGCTGTGCTCCATTCACAGAATCTGAGGCACATCCTGAGTCACCCTCTCAGGGAGGCAGGGCTGTGGGAGCAGGGTGCCAGCAGGAATCAAGTGTGGGCTCTGGGGAGCCCCAGGTTAAACACCAAAGGGAGCAGCAGGGACAGCTTGGCAGCTTTGCTTTGTGCCCTGCTCTGAAGCTGTGCCCAGTTCATTGAGAAGCCCATCAAATACACGTTGTGTTGCCCTGTAGAGTGTTGGGAACAGTCCTGAGCACAGCAGGAAAACAAGGAGAGCTGCCAGGAGCGCGTGTTCCGGGCAGTTTTTCCAGCAGTTTGCATCACCAGGCTGAGCTCTGACGTGTGGAGTGAGCAGGGCCCTGCAGGGCATGGCAGGGGCTCTTTCACCCAGTTTTTGGGCACAGGGGCAGAGTGGGTGGGCAGCTGTAGAGTACCAGGGAAAGGGAGGCTGCTCAGCAGTTTCTGAGCAAACCTTGGCTGTATTCTGCAGGGGGAATAGTTTATGGATGTATAAAGGTCTGTGGATCAGGGAATCCTGTTCTCCAGAGAGCAGCAGTAAGCACATTTTGATACCCTCCAGCCTTTTCTCCACTGACTTTGTGGGATTTGAGGTGAGAAAAGCCCTTTAGGCTCTCCCTGCTCGTGTTCTGTGTCACTGCAGCTACTGCTCTCTGCTTTGCAGAATGTAAATTCGTCTGTCAGGTTCCTTGAGAGGCTCTGGAGCTGCAGAACGGAGGTGATGGGCACCCTGGGTTAGCTGTGATCTCCAGGCTGTGGACGTGGGAGCTGTGTGCCGGTTCCCTGGCAAGGGGGATCGGGGATCCATCAAAAGCCACTTTAGGAAGCGTTGCATCCTCGGGAGAGGCTGCAGAGGAGGTGCAGGGGGTGCCATCCAGCCTTGGGAAGGCTGATAAGCTGCAACACCGTGTCAGGCGATGTTGCTGACTGTGGGGCTTTCGTGTTTGCTCTTGTGGAGGTTTGGAGCATAAATAAGGATGATGTGTGCAGTGCTCGGGCTCTGCTCTGTGCTCGGCCCCGTGTCCCAGCCCCCGCTCCCCTCGGCAGGGTCAGGAGAAGGGAATTGGAGGCGGTGTCTTTGGCTGACACCAGCCCGCTGGGGAGGGATGAGAGGAAGGGGGTCTTGGGGGCTGGGTTCAGAGCAAGGTTAGCCAAATATCGGATAAATTAAGCAAGAGAAACAGACAGCTCAGCTTGCAGTGAACTTTTCACCCAGCTAACCTGTTCCTCACCCTGCCTTGCACAGGTGGAGTGCGACTGGAGCGCAGCCCTTGCTCTCCCTGCTCCCTTCTGCTGGGGTAAGGCATGGCCAAAGGGAGAGCAGGAATTGTTTTGAATCCAAGGAATATCACAGCTCTGATTTCTGGTACAACAGCACGGATTGCACAGGGGGTTAGTCCGTGTTTGCTGCAGGGTGAATGAGGACTGATTACTGGTCACAGAGGATTAGGAAGAAATTCCAAGCTGGAGAGGGCAAGGAGTAAATGTGAGTGTCTAAACAGCGATGATTGGAGATTCTTTGTGGGAAAACACAAGAGTGGTGGGAATTCTGGTGTTTATTTCTCTGACTTTTCTTCTGCATTTGCAGCACAAGTAAATACAAATAATTGCTGACAGATGTTGTAAAAACACAGCATTATGCTAACCATTAAGGTAAATTTTTTTAGGTTAATAATAGATACTGATAAGTCAACGTGGTGTACTTGGCTCAAACTCACATTACCTTGTTGAAATGGGCTGTGCTCCAGATGCATGTGTGGAACCAAGTGCTGGACTTCTTCTCTTGACCCTTCCCTAAATCCCCACGGTCTCCACTCCCCAGAAAGCTCCAAACAAATTAAAGTTCCTGGGTTTTAAGTAGTTTCTCCATCACAATCAGTGCGTAGTGGTGAGGCCTGAAGTTCTTGATCTTCTTTCTCAGACCATGTCTGTGGTTTGTGGTGTGACAGGTCTGTTGGAGAGCAATACCTTGTATTGCTTCAATCTTGGCTTGAAAACCACTGTGTTGAAATTGCAACTCTAGAGTTCTCTAATCTTCCTTTTCCCTTTTCTCTCATCATAGGTGAGGGAGGTCTGAGACCAATAGCAGCTCTCTAATGCCCAGTATTTCCAGGAGCCAAGTCCTAAATTTTTCTCTGTGTGTCTAAATTACATAAAAGTTCAAAAAGTAAAAAAATAAAATAATTTGTTGTAGAACCCTCTTAAGAAACTCCTAGTGGCAGTGCACTTCTGGGTGGTAGATGCTGGGAGCTGTGTGTCTGAAAAGAGAAGAGCAACCTGGAGATAATCCCTGACTTCAGGAAGCTAAGAGCCTTCCTGGAGCAGTGAATAATTTCAGCTTTGCCTCCTGCTCTGCTGCACACACAGGGGTGGTTTCCACCCTCATTTTGGATCTGGGAAGTTCTTGGAGCTACCTATAAACGTCTGTTCACACTCAGCTCCTCAGCCACTGCCAGGTTTAGGTGACTGGCTGCAAAGGAGCACTGGCAGCATCCTGTGTTGTGCCCACAGGTGGGAAGCAAACATGGATTGGGTGAGGAAAGTGTTTTATGTTGGCAGAAAATGGCCATGGTTCTGCAGTTTGGGAAAAGGGAGTGTGTTATGTGGAAGGTGTGGAGAAAGGGATAAGGACTGTGATGTGGTTACTGTTGAGTTCCTGATGCTACTGGTTGTTGATCAAAGAGTTTTTCTTCTCCTGCAGTTGTTGAAGAAGTTGTTTAAGAAGATAAAAGGAGCTGGGACGTGCACAAGGCAGCGCCACCTCTGCTGCTCCTTCCCCTGCAAGGATGGGATGGGAGCTCTTGGGTGGGTTTGGTGAACCCAGAGAGCAGATTCTGTTCAAACTCACACTGTTGTTTGCCTGGTTTGGGCTCTTGTGTTGTTCTGGTTTGGTTTTGTTCCCTCAGGACGGTTCTGGCTGGCTGAGTTTACAACCTGTAGCTTCAAATACAGATTCCACCCTTGGGGAGGGGACAGGGCAAGGACAAGGTCAGTGGTCATCAGATAAGTGAAGCTACTCCTTCTCCAGCAGTTCAGGCAGATTCATCAGAGCCCTAAGCAGCCTCATAATCTTGCCAAAGGCAAATTTTCCTGTCAGATCTGTCAGAGTGTAAATTCTCCACAAAACTTGATCCCTTTTCAGTGCTTTGCTGAAGTTTCCCAGACCTGTCTGGCCAATCACTCTGTGGCTCCAAACTGTCATAGCAGGCTGGTGGCTTCTGCTGTATTTTTTACTGCCCCTTGAGTGACATCATTTAAATGATGAGCCTCTGAGATGATTCATACCAAAAAAAGATCTAATAATTGTTACCAGTTATTCAGATCAGTGTTACTGATTTCCCGCATCCTCCCACTGGTCCCTTGAGCTCCCCCACCCACTCGTTTTTCCTAATATTTCCCAGGCTTTCTGGCTGTAGGCTCAGTATGCCCTCTTCTGTGTTAAGGTGTAAGTGTCTGCCTCTCCCCAGAGGAGCATTCAGGGCTTGGCTGCAGCAGCTTGAATGAGCAGATCCGAGCTGGAGAGGAATGGGAGGTAGAGGGGCCACTGGCAGCTCCAGGGGAGTTCACACGGCGTTTGTGGCACATCCCTGATCCCTGTGCTGTGCTGGCAGCCTCTGGGGTGGCCAGCTCAAAGCACTGGATCTGCAGGTTTGGGGTCACAGGACCCAGCTGGGATCTCTGGAGCAGCTCCACACTCTGCCAAGGCTCCCCAGGAGCAGCCTCCAGTGCTGCCACTGCTGCTCCTGTTGGGGCTGGGGTTGTCTCTTCTCTCTCTCAGAGTTCCTCTCCTCATGAGGCTCATTTCTGCAGCACTGTGAGTTGAAATCTGCATTATTTGTGTGGTCCATACAAACAGCTGCCATCGAGAGCACTGAGTTTTTCAAGCAGCTCCTCAGCCTGGCCCCTTTTCCTCATCATGTTCTGTTCTTGGATCCTGGTGCATTTTTCCTTGAACTTTGAGTCCCTTCAACATCTGTATCCTCACTTTCTTACCTTCTTTGCTCAGTGTCTCTGGTGGTTCCTTCTGTGGGCAGAAGCACACTTGTTTTTGTCTGGAGTGAGGTGGATCCAGAACCCAGTGATGGAAAAGGGTACCCACAGTGAAATATTTAAGGATGCACTGATATTATGGCAGCTGAAAACTCTTAAGTTGATTTTGGAGCTATTTTTGGCTGTGTTATTGTCCTGTGCAAGGCCTTAAAGAAACTGTGGATGTACAGAGCTGTCCTAAGCAAGGGAAACAGTTTCACCCGTTGTACTTATTAGCCCCAGGGGTGGGTTTTTGCCCTGACTGTTGTTTATTGAGGGGTGGGAGAGTCATTAGTTTGAAATTTGTGCTGTCCAAAATTCTTATATGGGAAGTAAAGAGCCCCTTCTGTTGTGGAGCTCATTTGTTCAGTCTTGCTGGGAGGGGCTGGGATGGCAGGAAACCAAAATTTAGAGTGTTCTCCCCAGTATTTGAGGGATGTACTTTACTTTGCAGACAGTGACAGGGAGAATGAAGGGATATTGTGGGAACAGGACACGGAGACAAGGTCTCAGTTAGTAGAGGACTGCTTTGGATGGCTAAAAATACTCAGTTTATTTCCTAGACTCCAGTTTTTTAAAGGAAAAAAAACCTCTGAGGTTTTCCTGTAGAGGAGATATGAAGATACTTTTTGAAGATGTTTAGAATATTAAAGAAAGGCATCTATCATGGAATCACACAGGATTCCTGGATATTCTAGTGAATTCATGGGTTATATTGGTGCAAACGAGGCCTGTGGCTTGTTGGTCCTGATTCTGCAGCCTGTGAAGTTCAGTCCCCGGGGGGTTTTCTTCTGGAGAGAGAAGCCCTGTGCCCTGTTCCCTTTCGGGGAGGAGTTGGCTGAGCAGAGTGAGCTCCCAGAGAGGAGCAGCAGAGACCTTTCCTCCCCTCAGGAGCGGATTTACGGCTGTTCCGCGCGGCTGGCCCTGCAGCCCCTCCTGAGGCAGCTGAGGGGAAGAAAAGCTCGGCGTAACCTTTGCCGTGTTATTTATTATCACTTTGCAGCCCCCTGCAAAATGAACTTTGGAAGCTCGTGGGCCGATGGTGAGGGGAACACTGGGAAAAGGCCGGGAATCAGCAAATCCATTGTGTTGCGCTGACAGAAAGATACGGTTACAACACACTTCAGCTGCCAACTTGCTGCAGTCACTCAATCCATCACGGTGGGCCGCGGGATCGCGAGCCAGTGAAACTCAGCCCAGCGTGTTATTTTAGTCTTACATGGACTGTGAGATAAACGGGGCATGAACCGGCCCCCTGGCAGGGGGTCGACCCCCGGCGCCCTCATTAAAGTGCCAATCAAAAAGAGTAATGGAAGGGGGAATGGAAAAGCGGCTCCTCCGGCCTCGCACCGCGCTCGGGCCCGGCAACTCGCGCCAGCCAAGGGAAATATTTCTGTTCTGAACAGGAGCCAGGCCTCCAGAAACGCTCCCTGCTCGTCTCCGAGTTCCGAGGCTCCTCCTGTGGTGGGCACCTGTCCCCACATGAGCACAGTGAGGGCCCTCAGCGGCACAGCCTGGGGAAGGTGTGGATGTGGCTCGGGTGCAGGCACAGGCCTGGGGCTGTGGCTGTGAGGGGAAGGTGTGGACGTGGCTCGGGTGCAGGCACAGGCCTGGGGCTGTGGCTGTGAGGGGAAGGTGTGGATGTGGCTCGGGTGCAGGCACAGGCCCTGGGCTTGTGGCTGTGATGGGTTTTCTGCCAGAAGTGGTGCCCAGTTCAGCATCTGGGTGTGAAAGGTGCGGTGGAAGCTGCTCTGAGCCACAGCGATGCTGCCCTGGGCTTGCCTGAGGTGTGGCTCTGGAATCCTCTGAGGGGCTTTATTTCCCTGGAACCCACAGCAAATCGACACTGGATAATCTTGGAGAGAATACAGACATAAGGCTGAGGCACACAGGCTGTGCTGAGCTGTCCCTGATGCTGGTGCTCAGATCCCTGAGCTCTGCTCTGAGAGCGGGTGCTGCTCTTGGAGACTGGGAGAGCTCCCAGCACGGCTGTGGGGAGCCCTGGATGTGTTCTGGGTGATGTATAAAGTACATGTCCTTATGGCCTGGATGTGTTCTGGGTGATGTATAAAGTACATGTCCTTATGGCCTGGATGTGCTCTGGGTGATGTATAAGGTACATGTCCTTATGGGCTGGATGTGTTCTGGGTGATGTATAAAGTATATGTCCTCCTGCAGGTTGATCTCCCTCTGGTGTGTGCTCAAAGGAGAAGGAAAAAGGTGTTTGTGAGAAAAGGTGAGTGAAGTTGTTGGTGTCATGTGGATTTTTACTGTTTGAAGTCAGGAAGCTGAAAGTGGGGGAGTTGGCTCTTAAACCTGCTTATAAATGTCAGCTCTGGTGTGATCTCACTGTGATTATGACCTTGGCAGATGTTTATTTTTGCTCACAAGGTTTCATCAGCAGCACAGAATTTCTCCAGGTAGATACTGGTCTGGTTTAAAATATTTATTTTTTTTTTATGGACAGGATCAGCAGTTGGGATTAGTGATGAAGAAATGCATGAGTAGTGACACCAAAGAATGACAACTGCCACAAAACAAGGAGGTGCCTTGAGAAAGGAACATCTTATTGTCTGCTGAGGCTGGTACAGATTAGAGGCACCCAGTTCAGGGAGGAAGGAAATGCGTCCAGGTCTGGAGCCCTCTGCACAGGAAAGACACAGAGCAGGTCCAGAGGAGGCCACAGAGATTCTCCAAAGGCTGGAGCTCCTCTGGAGCCAGGCTGGAGAGCTGGAGGTTGCCAGCCTGGAGTAGAGAAGGCTCCAGGGAGACCTTAGAGCTCCTTCCACTATTTCAAGAGGCCTTACTAGAAAGATGGGGACAAACTTTTTAGCAGGGCCTGCAGCTATAGGAGAAGGGAGAGTGATCTTAAATTGAAGGAGAGTCGACTCAGACCAGATATAAGGAAGAGAATTTTACAGTGAAGGTGAGGCACAGTCACAGGCTGCCCAGAGCAGTGCCCCATCCATGGAGACATCCAAGCCAAACAATTCTATATGAATTGTATATATATATATAAAATATAAATAAATATATATACACAATTATATGTATACAATTTTATATATATATATACAACTATATATACACAATTATATATTGTTATAAGTTGTATATACAACTTTTTATTCATATATATATATGGCAATTGTCATATGTCATATGATTATATGATAACAATTAACATATATGACATATACATACGACAAACAATTATTTATGACTATAAATAGCATGATTGGAGTCAGGTTTGCACTGAGCCAAGTCAGAAATAATGATTGTACCCATTTATACACAAAATTCTAAAACGTTTGCCTGTCTGAACTGGGGGCATAGGGATACTGTCTCTGGATAATCCTTTGCAGGATCGTGCAAGTGCTATTATACCACAAATAAAGATGTGTTCTGGCATAGAATGTGGTGCTGAATAGAATCCTCACATTTCTGGGATGTTTACCTCAAATGCTGTTTCCTCCATACTTTGAGATTCAAAGAAATCTTGAAAGAGGATGAGTGGAAGGACCTAGAATTGCCCACTGGCAGAGGGGAGACATCAGTGGTGATGCTCCTGCTGCTGGAGGGGCCAGAAGAAGGCTGGGGAGGGGTCTGGTCATGCAAAAGGTTACTTGTAAAAATGATTTTATTTTTTCCCTCCTATTAAAGCTGCATGCAGGCACGGGTTTTTTGCTACATCATTATTTTGATACCCGGTGGTTTGTACGGCTGGATGTCGGTCATTTGCCAAAGGCCTTGGAGCAACAGTCCTTAGGAATGGTGAGTCACCCTCCTGGGGCAGAGCAAATGTTTGTTTTTGCGGTGTCTGGAGGGCTGAGGGATAGCTGGTATGATGGATTTCTCCTTTATTTATTAGAATTCCTCTACAGCTGCAGCATGCAGGGGACTTTTTTTGCTGGCATTTTCAGAACCCATTGTTCTGCAGCTCCCATCCACAGCCCTTGTCCTCTGGGTGACCCAGCCATTTATCCAGAATGGAAATGCACATGGAAGCTGTTTACTTGGCCCATGGCCTTTCAGTGCTTTTGAGTCTGCCCAGAGCAGGCCTGAGGTTGCTCTTTGTGCTTTGTGCTGGGCACAGGGTCGGGCAGTGGAGCGTCAGCTACAGGGAGGAAACCCTGAAAACCCCAACATACACCAGCCAAGTGTGACATAAGTATAAATTATGTTTTACTGGCACAGGTGGGAGGCCCTGGCACAGGTGCCCAGAGCAGCTGTGGCTGCCCCTGGATCCCTGGCAGTGCCCAAGGCCAGGCTGGATGGGGCTTGGGGCAGCCTGGGACAGTGGAAGATGTCCCTGCCCATGGCAAGGGGAGGGAATGAATGAGCTTTAAGGTCCCTTCCCACCCAAAACAATGTGGGATTCTGATGCTCTGTTCATCATGAGTGTCCCCAGGCCCTGAGCAGAGCTGACCCCTCTAAGGGAAGTGCAGTTTGCACCCACAGCATTTGTATTTCTGGCCAAAAATGTGCTGTGGTTGTACTGAGCAAAACAATGTGACTGTTTTTTTCCCCAGTGTTTGTCAGTGGTTAATGAGTAACCTTTTCTTTCTGGCAGGAATCCTTGTCAGATTCTGCCCTCTCCTGCACCCGAGGCAGGAGCAGGGCTGCTCACAGACCCAGCTGGGCTGAGTTTGCCTCACATTCTCCCACTGCAGAAAATCTGCTGCTGGAGAAACTATGAAAACTCCATGGTTCGGTCAAACTGCTCCCAGTCCTGGTAACAAAACCTTTTCTCAGCCAGGGATGGTTCTGGCAGGGGAAGGCAGATGGGTTTGTGCTGCCCTGAGCCCTCTGACAAAGCTGTCAGACCATTTGGGAGGCCACCAGCAGCTGTAAAAAAATGGATTTCAAGAAAGTCAAACCTGTAAGACAAGGGGAGTTGGAAGTGCTTTGTCCCAGTCCTGCATTTGATAAAATTAAGCACCATAATGTGGAGTAAAGAGTGTGCTGTCAAGCTGGAATGCTGCAGCAATCCAGACTGGAGTCTGAAGCTCTTGGCATATTTTATGATTTTATTTTTGTAATATTGTTTTATTTAATTTTTTTACTTTATTGTATTTATTCTCAGAAAAATAATGTTCTTCTCTCTTTGCAACAACCCTGCCTTTAGGAGGGTGGAATAGAGGAGTTTGGAACACAGCCTTAGCTTTTCAAGAGAATTCTGAAGTAGATGTACATTTGGGGGTGGTTATATATATTAAAAAAGTAGTACAGAAGCACATGCACAGTGTTACTGTCAGAAGAAAACTTGTGTAAGTGGATCTTGAGCAGCTCTTGGCTTAATTAAAATGTGCTTTGATTTTGCTTTTATTATTTTTTTAATACCTTTGCAGCAACTTGTAATCTAAAGAGAATATATTTACTGAAACCTGCTTTTTCAGCATGAGGTACCAGAGGTGAACTCAGTGTCAGCAGCAAATCAAGGTCGATTCCTCTGAGAAGAAAAAGAGAGCAAGGGCTGAGAGGATTTATCATCCCAGTGGGTTGTGCACTGGAGGAAGCAGGTTCCTACTAAACTGTGCTTCAGAGAGAAAAAGAAGTTTAAAATATATATCTATATATAGAGTTGGACTAAGATGTTACTAAGTATTTTAGTGAAGAGAAAATAGATAAATGTTGGAAAGCATCATGCAGTCTAGGAAATGAGATAGTGAAGAGATGAAAAGGTCCCTGTCACTGGGAACTGTTTGATTATTGCTCTGGTTTGAGATGGGCCCATTTAGCCACTTAGCTTCTCCCCACAAAAATGTAAACACTGCTTGGCTTTGGAGAGCAGCCTTTGGGACTGGGGCTGCTCAGAGGGATCATCCCACTGAGCTCCTGGGGCTCTGTCAGGAGCAGAGGGGAGGGGAGGGCATTGTTCCCATCGCTGCAGGAACCCCTCCAGCTGTTGGGAATCATTCCTGATCCAGCAGTGATGGCAGGGAAAAGGGGTTTTCACTGTGAACATGCCACAGATGCAGGACACACAGAACTTCACCCTCGCTTTTGGAGTCTAAAAGTTTCTTTTTTCCAGTTACTTTCATGCCCTGAGAAAGTGAGGATAATTCCCAGTGTCAGGAGTGGGCAGACAAGTGTTGGGAGGCAGGGGCAGTTGGTGGGGTGGGGATGTTTCCAGCAGGGACAGTGTGGACACAGCCCCTGGATTTGTTCAGCTTTGCAGGAGAACTGGAGTGAAACTTTGGGCCAGGGAAAAGAACAAGAGAGGAGAGGACAGGAGGAGAGTGCAGGACAGTAAAGGGGAGAAAAGGGGAATAAAGTGGAAGGCAGGGAAAGGGGGAGGAGGGCAGGGAAGGAGAGAAAAGGTGGAAAGGATGGGAAAAGGAAGGAAAAGGGGGGACAGGAAAAGATGTGACAGGTGGGGAAGGGGGATGAGAGGACTGGGAAAACAGGCAAGGAAAGGAGAGCAGAGGAGAGAAAGAAGACATGGAAAGGTGTCATTTCCATGTGTCATTTCCATGCTGTGTGGAGTCTCTTTACCAGTTAGAGACAGTTCTCCCTTCCTGCCCCTGCTGAGGTGTTATTTCATCTGCTCTTTATCACACCTTGAAGCTGGACAGTTTTTTTCACACAAATGGCCACTCCAAGGGTGCCACAGTTCAGTGACTGCTTTGGTGTTTGCACATCATCTCCTCAGGGATGGTTACAGACCCCAAGTGCTCCATCCATCCCCTGGAGATGCTCAGCACAGCAGTGAACTCCTCCTTGTTTTCCCTCCCCACCTTTAGCAGCCCAGTATTTTACAAGAGCTCAGAACTGGTTTCATTCTAACCTTCAGCAGCAAAATATTCCCACGTGTCTTCATGAAATTCAAATTGCCTTTTAAAGCTCTACTTACACTGAATCAAAAGGTTTATCAAGTCACCCTTTAAAATGCAGGTTACTCAGCAAGTTACAGGAGATTTGTGTCTTCATATCCAAAGCTGGCACCTTCAGGGAGTAAACGTGGCACTGAGAGTTCCAGTTCCTGTGGGTTAAGGTGTTTAAGAGCACTCACTCCTCCCTCTTCAATGTGGTTACAGTTAATGAGACAAATATTGATGTGGTGTACGACATCAGAAAAAACAAAACTTGCTGGTTTTAGTATTTAGAAGTTTACTTTCAGGATATTGTGAAGTCCAACAAGCTGGTGATTTCCTCTCCCCCCACCCTTCCTCCACCTGAGGGAAGGAAAAATCTGAAGTCAAGGTTCAATCTCCAAGGCTGCTCACTTCTTCAAAAACAAGTCAGAAAAGGGGCCTTGAGATGCAGACTGTGAATGTAAAACTGAATCCTCCCTGCATTATTTACCAAAATGCAATTTTTTTGTTAAAAAAGAGGCTGACATTTCAGTGCAAGACCAGGTCTCCTGTATGTACCTGTATTAGTGATTTAAGAGAAAAAAACAACAAAAAGCCCACCAAACAATCCATGTAAAGCCCCAATGTTAATGCACCCTATTCATGGTGTTAAATCTCCAAACCACAGGACACCTGTGTTCCAACAGCTGAAATTAATTCTTAATTTTATTTTTTAAAGGTTTATCTACATTCCTGCACTGTGAAAATCAGTTTTCCCAAGGACAAAAAAAAAAGACAGAGAGAGAGTGAAGGGCTTGTGTCAGGTAGTGCAGTGTGACTCAGTAGAGCTCCTTTAATTTCTTTACACAGTAAACAGACTCATATTTATACCAACACCCGCTGCCCTTTGTATTTACATGGACACTTGTACATATATACATGTTAGCAAAATACAGGGCTTCTCCCAGACCCAAAGCTGCATCAGCTACACCTCTGTTATACAACTAGTGCTTAAAAAAGAAAAGCCACCTCTTTTGTTTTCTCTAAATACTAAAATTATATTTTTTCGTTCTCTAGTCACACAATTCTGGCTCCAGCCTGGTACTTGCAGCTCTTTCTGGCAGTGAGGAAGTGGATTTTCAAGAGTCCAGCTCGAGTTGCTCTTGATTTTCACTAAGTCTCAGCATCAGCTGCTGCTCATAATAAAGGCTCTTTGCATAGTTGATTTCTTGGGACAGCTTTACTGCCAGAGCTTCTGATTTCACTTTCACCTGCAGAAAGAAAGGGGATTTTTCTTAATGTGCTCCTGCTGTCAGCTAAAACAGAATAGATTTCAGATTTGAAGTAAGGGACAGAAAGGTTTCAGTGGAGTTTCCTTCTCAGCAGCGAGGATGGAGCAAGGAAGAAGTGTGAGGGAGCACCAGGTACACACACAGATACTCAAGGGTGAGAGCAGGAACACTGTGCCACAGCTGAGGTTATTTCCTTTGCCTCCCCTCCCACCTTTTATCTGGCTGGTCTGTTTGGAATGTGAACTGACTTGGCTCAGGGGTGAGTTTGTAACTGGGCCTGCAGAAAGGCTCTGAGCAACTACTGAAATGGCACAAAATATAAACACTGGTTCTAGCATTAGAGACCTCACAGTAAATATACTGTGTAGGAGAAGACTGAACAGGCAGCAAAGTACCCAAGTTCCATTTATGTGGTAAAGTTAAGAGCCTTTCACAGGTAAATACATGTTTCTTCCTGTTACTTTTCTGCCTGCAGGAATATTTTAGGGTTTTTCTTTCTTCAGCTTTCTCAGGAGTTTAGGGAGCCACTTCCACAGTCACTGAAACCTGGGCAGCAGCTGATTTCAGTGCTGTTTTCTGTTTCCAGAACAAAGCCTGTGCCTAAAACACTTTGGTCACGAGGGGAGCACAAGGGGAAAGGGCTGCCAGCTCCTCACCATGGGCCGCTGCTGGGAGGGGCCTGGCATGGCCACGCCGCTGCTGGTGTTCACAGCCTTCTTGGTGAGCTGGATGTAGACATTCCCGTGGTCCTTGGACACCAGGCAGTGGTACAGGTCATCATACCTGACCTCCAGGAATATGGAATCCCTGTCCACGTAGTCGCTGCTCTTCAGGAAATACACGGCCTTGGAGGAGATGAGCACGCAGTAGCTGTCAATGTTCTCCACGGCGATGAAACTGCAGCAAAGGAGAAAACATTATTAGCTTAAAGCTAAAAGTAGCAAATTAACCAGTGTCTTCACCTGTTCTGTAACCTTCAGAAGTCCATCAGAAAATGTAGCAGTGCAACATGTACAGTTCATCTGTATTTAATTTAAACTGTTTAGAAATGGAGCTGGTGAAGGACACTCTCACCTAGTTATAAAAAGATCATGCTGTAAATCAAGTATTAGTGCTGTCTGCCTGGCCACCAGCTTTGGGCATTACAGGGACACATAAAAATGTCCTTTGACAAGGACTTAGGAACAGTAATTTCACTGCTCTGGAGCACAGCAAGTCCTAATGCTGAAGCTGAACTGCAGCTAAATTCAGTTCCAGTGCTGGTATCTGAAAGGTTTGCAGACATTTATGACCAGAGCTATCCTGTAACCCTCCTGTGCTTCCCTGCTCCCCACACCTCCCTGCCTTCAAAACCAAAAACAAGTTGAACCTGCTGCCAGGATCAGTAGCAGAAAAGAGAAATTAGCTGTTTAACAAGGGGTGAGAGGTTAAGCAGCAAGCAGGTTTCCCCAGGGAGATTAGGCTGAGTGATGAATAGGAAGAGGGAAAGAAGAGTTAGTTTGGAATATTGAGAGTTACAATGGCTGAAAAAGCTGGTGTGTAAAAGAATAATTGTAAGGTACAAAAGTGAAATGGAAGTTGAACACACAAATGCTTCTCCCCCACTTCTGATTTGCTACTGAGATGAACCTCATTAGTGGGGCTTTTTAAATGCTGGAAAATTCAGCAACTTGAATGTGGAATCACAGCTGAGTAGAGTAATAGAATAGTGCTAAATAGAGTAAAAAAGCTCTGCCAACAGCCCCCAGGGTTGACATGCATCTGTAAAGGAGGATTCTGCTGCTGTCAGGCCAATTGCTGCCCTCTGAGCCACTGCTCATAGAAACCTGCCTGCTGTCCTCACATCCTGCAGAATCCTCCATTGGATTAGAAATCAGTGACCTTTGTCACAAACTCCGTGTTTCTGGTAAACAGAAAAGTTTCCCATCTCCAAATGCACCCTTGGCTCTGCCAGTTAAACATCACTGTGCACAAGCTACTGTGATCTGTAGCCAAATAAACCCAGAGCTATAAAACGTATGTTAATAGCCAAAAATATGGCAAGAGGTCAGGCCATGGTTTCTTTTTGTGGTATAAAAGGATGACTCCAGTAATTCTGTATTCCCAGTCCTCCCAAAGACACTGCTCTGCACTGAACTTGTCTTTGGGAAAGGTGCACACACCGGTGTCAGTGCTGGGAAGGGCACAACCAGCCTCATTAAAAAGGGCCCCTGTAACATGCTTTGTCCAGCTCTAACCTTGCATGAAGCTCCAGGAGAGGATAAAAAAACTGTGTTCCTTTAAGTAAAACAAACTGGAAGAAAAGTAGATTTCAGCTTAGAGGAGCCCAGGTGAAAGACAACCTTGACAGAGTTCCGGCAATCAGCAGCTGCCCTGCAGTTTTCCATCAGAGTTCAAACACTTCAGGGTAAGGTTCTGCCTTTGAAATTAGTTAAATAGGATGGAGAGTGACATTTTTTATGAAGTGTCGCAGAAAACTTAATTTAAACCCAGAGCAGCAGTACAGCTGCAGCAGAGCAGCCTGGTGCCCTGGACAGGCACATCAAACACGAGGGTTTGAGGGAGGCCCCAGATGCAGCTGGGCCAGGATGCCACCAGGGACACCAAGATGCCACCAGGGACACCAGGATGCCACCAGGGACACCAGGACATCCATGGGAAGAGCTGGGCACTGGCAGCTGCTCTCAAGTGCAGGGGAAACACTGACCACAGCCTGCATTTGCCCTCTAAGGACAACTCATGATGCATGTACTTCTCCTTACACGACTTTTACTGGTGGCATGTATATATTCTGAGGAATTGAAACAGAGGTCAGAGAGTTAATGGAGAAGCCCAGAAACATTAGCTAATTTGTAGTTCAGGCTCTACATTTTGTTCTAAGTTTGAGTCATGCATCATTACCTTTGTTCTTGCCAACTGTTACTTTTTTTCTGTGTCTACTTCTTAAAACGGGTATTTTTAACCTTTTCAGATACTACTGCAAGATACTTTCTTTTAAACCCATACATATACACTATTCAAAATAGTCAAATTAATAAAATGAAGAATTAAATGAAACATGATCCAGTAGAACAAAGTAGAAGCAACCAGATCTCTGGAGAATTTGTGGGGTTTTTTAACAACATCAGGAAGTAATTACACAATATTTTCCAGAAGTGAAACAGCGAGCCTAACTGGAAAAAAATGTGGAAACATTTAGTTAGAACAGTAGAGCAAGGTATTAAACCCCCTTTTATGGATTTAACTCTGAAGGAAAATATGCAAATAATCAGGTCTTCAAATGTGTTTCTGATTATGATACTAGGATAAAAGTCAGAGGCATAATTTTGTACTTATTTTCCATGACAAGAAACACTGTGTTCCTGCTGAATGATGTCCCTAATGGAGAGAGTCACAGTGAATGAACAGTGTCACTTGATGATAAAGGCCACTGCTCTGCTCTGGGCTACGCTGGTGATTTTTTTTGGTCACAAATTGCTCTTTCCAGTCTCCCTGCCTAAAAGCCATCCTGAATAGGCACAAAGATCCTGAAAGGAGATGGAAACAGGATACCCCAAATGTGAACTCACAGGGCCACAAGTAAGTGGCAGATTGCAATCTCCTCCTCAGGCAGAACCTGGAGTGGCACATGGAACCTGCCCGGTGACACTGGTGACACCAAGTGACCCTGCTGAACCTGAACCTCCCTCTGCCAGCTCCACCATCAGCAATTCTGACCCTTTGCCTTGGCAGATGCTCTGATGGGTGACAGAGACAACATCTGACACCCTCCCCTGACACAGCTGATCAGTAACTATGGTGGGGATTGGGAAGTGATGAATTCTGCCTTTAGACCCCAATCCAGCAAACTGATATTCCCCCTGTAGAATCACAGAATTGGGGTTGGAAAAGCCCTCTGAGACCATCAAATCCAACTGCTTCCCCAGCACTGCCCGGGCCAACTAACCCATGTTCCCAAGTGCCACATCCAGATGGCTTTTAAATCCCTCCAGGGACGGCAACTGCACCACTGTCCTGGGAAGCCAAGCCAGGGCTTTATGACTTTCCATGAATAAATTTACCCCAATATCCAACCTGAGCCTCCCCTGGTGCAATTTCAGGCTATTTCCTCTAATCCTGCCCCTTGTTCCTGTTCCCTGTTTTTGGGAGCAGAGCCTGACTGGCTGCTCTTCCATCAAGAGAGCTGTGCACAGCCAGAAGGTCCCCCATGAGCCTTGTCTTCTCCAGGCTGAGCTCCCTCAGCTCCCCCAGACACTCCTGGTGCTCCAGACCTGTCCCCAGTTCCGTTCCCTCCAGCCCCTCAATGTCCTTGCAGTGGTGAGGGCCAGAACTGAACACGTGTCTGTGTGTGAAGCAGTTTTAGATATGAAGATGTGATGGCAGCAAACAGAACAGAAGCACTCAGAGTAGCTGTGTAAGTGGCTGTGTACTCACAACTCGTCCTGGATGTTGTCTGTCAGTTTGAAGAGCTGCTCCTGTCCCTCTGCTTGGCTCTCCAGGTAGCGGGGCAGGAGTCCCTGGGGGCCCCTGCAGCACCGGGGCTTCCGCACTCGCTCCGCCTGGGTCCTGCAGCAGGAGACACACAGGGATCACCACTGACACCTGTCTGCACACAGGGCTCTGGTCATTGTCAAATACAAAGCCTTCAAAAATCCCAGGTCTTCGCAAATTTGGTGTGTAGATCCTGGAAGGCCTGGATCTGGAAGATGTGGTGTCTACTCACACATTTCCATGAGATACAGAACCATACAATAATAAAATTAGAATAACTTTGTCTACAATGAAGGGGCAAGTTGCTAAATTAGTAGGAATAAGTGACCTAAGCAGCATATACTCTGTAGGTTTGGGGATGTATTTGTCAGCAGTTTTACTGATTTGACTGTTTCTTCTCACTGCTCTAAAGAAAATAAGAGTGCTAAAAACCAGAGAGAGTTCTCACTGATGGACAGTCCCAGGAGACTGCAAACTCCACGGTTATGGAAGAAGGAACATGCAGTTAAATTAATACAGAAGAAAAATCCTCATTAATTAGGGTACCCATAGGAAGGTTTAACATACTTTACCCTTCTGTGTGTGTATAAAAAATGACAATAAGAAGGACACACGTTTGTGGGCTGGCAGCCATCAGAGGTTGATACTGGCCACAGCACTGCAGAACTGCAGGCTCGGTTCCTCCCTTAGCAGAATTTTGTTAAAAAATAATACTTTGAATTCCTTCAAGCTCCTGGAACGCCCTGCCCCTGAAGAATTGTGTTACAGGCTGCTGAGCCCTGCTTCATTCCCTGTCCCTTCCCAGCAGCATCACTCTGGGGCTGCTCCATGGTATTTCACAGCTCTTCCAGGCTACTGCTGTTACGAATTTCCCAGCCAAATGCACCATTTTGGATCAGTGCTCTCCCTTCCCATCCCAACTCTCTGTAAAACCCTGCACAAGGAACTCCAGCCTTTCTGATCCAGGGACAGGACCTTTGCCCACCACCAGGAGAGAGCACTCACCTTCTGGGCTCCATGACCTGCAGATGTTTTCTCTGGAGCCTCATTTCCTTGTCACCTGTCCCCCTCAGCAGCCCAGTCCCACACCTGAAGCCTGGGCACCCTTTTAAAATTTGTTTTAAGTTTTTGACAACCCTTAATGCAGTGGTTAGAGC